GCGATGTAAATATTAAGTTGCTGTGAGTGTGCATTAAGCAGGCTCAAAATTCCTATTCTGTGACCTGACGAGATTGGAATTTCCTTCAGGGCAAATCACGTCAAGAAGTGCAAGAACTCAGTATAAGACTCTTGACACGAGTTGTGTGTGATAAGGGCCTGGCTCGTCGTAAATCCTCAGCAGCTGCAAAGTGTTCGCTGACGGTATCATTGTAACGCATCTACTGACAGAACCGTAAGGTTGCAAAGTGAATTAACTTGAAGCGTGTTGCAACAAAAGTTTTCATGCTTGAGAGAAAGTGACTTATGTCACAGAACTGGCGACGATGACCTCTTTGACCCTCCTGCCCTCGCTGCCCGTTGGGACGGGTGTCCGAAAGTCCGTGGTGTTTAATCCAGTGAGTGGGAAGGAGCAGACCGACCCCAATAACAATGCAGGGGGCGCCGCCACCAGTACAGAGAAGCAGGATGATATTTCTTCGGCGCCGAAGCGCGGTGACAAGTACTCGCTGAGACCACGGTCTCTGCAGAAACGGGCCGAGACGGAGCAGCGCGGCAGGGCTGCTGTCAATTCGAGGTCCAAAAGAGGTGACGGTACGAACAGGCCGAAACAGAAACCACCTCCCCTAAGCAAATATCGGCGCAAGACGGCCAACGCCCGAGAGAGAGACCGAATGCGAGAGATCAACGCCGCCTTCGAGACGCTCCGTCGCGCAGTGCCTCACATCTCGACGTCCGCTCACCAGAGCCAGAACGACAGCAGCGGGAGCGAGAAACTCACAAAGATTACGACGCTGAGACTCGCCATGAAGTACATCGCCGCCCTGAGCCAGGCGCTACAGCAGCCCGACAGTTTCATCCACATGTCCGAGGTTCCAGCTTCGATACTTCCGCCCCCCAGTTCCATCAGCAGTGGCAGTAGTTGTAGTGGTAGTCTACAACTCATGTCAGATGGGGAATCGCTCACGTTCAGTGAGCACTGCCTCACACCACCAGACCTGAGGCAGCAAAGTCTCACGCCCCCGGACTTCACGCGGCACTGCCTCACTCCTACTGATCTTACACCCCCGGATCTCAGTAGGCACTGCCTCACACCACCAGATCCGAGCCAGCACTGTCTTACATCTTCGGAGTTCAACAGTCGTTGCATGACGCCGCCGGACTTGAGTCATCAGTGTCTAACCCCACCCGACCTAGGTCAGCACTGCCTGACACCGCCCCACTGTCTCACCCCTTCTGACTTCGCTGACCATTCGCTGACAGCTGCGGATTTTGGAGACTCTCTTACACCCCATGACTTCAGTACTCATTCACTCACACCTTCTGATTTTGGAGACCCGTGCCTCACACCCCCAGAGTTCAGTGACCTCGCACCATGACAGTTCGGTGGAATTTTGCTCTACCAATGACATTCGTGGCCCCAGTTAACAGAAGAAGTGCGGGAGCCAAGGAAGGCCAGTTACTCTCTTACGTTTAGCATAATACATATCACAAGTATCTTACAAATGCCGTCCTATATTACGTTGTGTGTTTTATGAAGGTGTAACTGCTGTATTCAGGCCTCAGATGCGTATTTAATTGTTTGATGTAAATCACCAGTGTCTTCATAAAAAAATTATTCTTTTTCCAACGTTGTCGGGAACAGAACTTCGCCGTTTCTGTTCTCTTTCACCGTTTTATAATTTACATCTCGATGAAGTGATAAATCGGTGTTCGGTGAAGAGTCGATTCCAGCTTCGACATAACGTTGCGTGTGGGATACATTGATCCACAGGACTTAATTTATTTACCTTGTACACTTCGAAGGCTGGAGTCGCGGGCAGTAGTGACTCCCATCTGTATAAGAGAGCCGTCTTAACGAGAGAAAGAAACTGCCTTGACATGGAGGTCGCAACATCGAGACCTCATTCTTCGAAAGGACAAAAACCTTTATTTATCGTTATATCAAAAATCGGAGAGAAAATAAATAAAACGTTCAGTTGGTCTGTTTTATCGTTGTAACTGTGTATTTTAATAGAATGATAATAAAAATTAATAAATCAAGACATGTAAAATGTTACTAGTTGTTAAAAACGACAAATCAGATAGTCCCAGCTGAAGGAGAAAGTTTAAAATGTTTACTTTTTTTTTACTATATTGAATATATTACGAAACGTTATACAATGTATATGCAAACATGTCCTATTTTCGACTTTGTTTTTGTGAATTAAAGAAGACAACACAAACGTAATTTAACTTAACAGCTTACTGCCATGCTAAGGACATAAGTACGAATAATTATTTACAAAGTACTTTTAAATAGCTGTACCAGAAAAGTTTCAGCCATTTATTGTTTCACATTGAATATTTTAATTCTGAGGATTTTTAACGTGTTATTATAAATGTAAATTTTTATCGAAAACATGTCCGTAGCCCGCGAATTGAGTTTGTGTCTACAGTGTGTTTGGATGTGGTTGGTAAATACTTTCCTCCGTAGAGGACGAGGTACCCGTGTTTAATTTTATCCCAGCGACGTGACAGTGTTGTTAATTGATGGGACCTAAATTTTTCATTCAGAAGCGACTCTCTTCTGTATAAATGCGTGGGCGTGTTATTACATAGTACAAGAACATGAGTGAGTGCTTTTGTATCTTTTAATTTTAAATATTAGATACAAAAGTCCTCTGTCTTAATGTGAATTATTGTTAAATGCAGTTGTTCTTTTTAATAAATAATAATGGCGAATCACTTCAGTTAATTCTAAAAATAAATCAATTTCCCCGCGGTTTGTAGGTATGCATATTAGTGTACTATTGGGCGTATTTTAAAATGCATTCGTTTATTTTGCATTTTAAAAAGCTGAAATGTATACAGTACCCATGCAAAAATGGTTTTTATCACAAATATAAATACCGTCAGTTATGATTTCTTTTGATTGCAAATATAAAACAAAGGAATTCACCTTACTAGATACGAGGTTTTACGACTGTGAAATGATCGTGTGGTTTTGGGTTGTGACACTATTTAGTCTTCCAAGTGATTAGTAACGTGTTGGAGGAACGTACCGCTCCTATCTTCTGCATATAAATCTCTGTTGCAATGCCCAATAAAATAAGATGTGTTTATTTTAAGCTTAATACAAATTCTTTGTAAAATTTTTGAAACAGGGTGTTCTTAAGATAACGTTCTGATATATTAAAACCATTTAGAGATATTTCGAAGATGTGTTAGTCTTAAATTTTAAACGATTTCATTATTTATTTACACTAAGAATGTCAGGGTTGCAAGAGGTTCGAATACTTAATGTTTGTTCTCATGAATACCGTTACTTTTCGAATATGTTGAGAAGTTTTACTATTTCTCACGTAAAAATTGCGTATTATAGAATCAGAGTTTTAAACACTTGTTTCGTGTTTGCGTAAAACAGGTATCAGATCTATTCGGACAGGTCTCTCGCATCTAAAATATCCTGCGTTAGTTTTTCTATTAAACATCATAAGACTATCGATCCGAAAAATGTGCCAAGAGAAGGATATTTAAGATATGAACATTTAAACGTAACAACAAATTCACATCCGATACAAAAGACGCACTCTTTTCCAGAAATTCTACAAAGTGGCTTCTTTTAAGTTTTGCATTTACATTTTTGTGAAATATCAATTCTCTTGTACAATTATCGATTCTCCTCTCTTCAAATCTTTAAAAGAATTATATGAAAGACATATGGACGTGTCCCTCTAATCAGAAAATAACTTCGGATATGTGTCCTGGAATTGGTTTTGAAAGTACTACGTAATAGGTGGTTTGGAAATTAACTTCAGCTGTATGTAAGCTCTGTGTGTCCATATGAACCGTTGCAATATTCATATATACATGGATAAAATAAAACCTTGATGGAGGACTTAATTGAATCCAGAGAGAAAGCTGAGTGTAAGCTGAAGCAAGTAGATGTTTCGCAACGCGCGACTAATTAGACTGACATCTGACACACACACACACGTATTAATTACTGTGGAATATTATTAGCCCTCGTGACTCAAGTGGCATGTGAGATCATTTAATGCCGATATTATTATTATTATTATTATTCAGTGTTCTGTCTTACGACAGGTCCATTGCTCTGCCCAAAAAGAGCTCTCCAGTTTTCCCTATTCTCAGCTTCTCGCTTTAATTCCTGGAACGTCATCTTCTTTCCTTGTTACCGCAGTATTAAATCCGAATCGAAGACACCAAGTTCTTAATCCTTGACATTTCTTTTATAAAAATCTGTTAATTTCAACGGATATGTACCTGACTAATTTTTTAAGCTTTTGTGGCAGACCTTGGAAGTTTTAACATAAAATCATCCATCGGAGACAGCTTAATGAATCTCTGATTCTCACAACCTAAGATCTATCTTATAGTTATCCTAGCCCTGCGTGAACTTGTAGGTAGGTAACCGATGTTTTGGAGACTTGAGGATAAAGGCAGTATGTTCCTCCGAAATGTTGATATCTACTTACAACTTCACATGACATTACAACTCAGTCGATCATCGTCGACATTTTCACTGTTGTGGGAACCTCAGTACCTTACACAGTACGCTTTTGTTGACAAGTTTCTACAGCAATATTTATGTACATTAAACTTTCCTGTTTTCCCATTTTATCCACATGACCGGCCCATCATATTTTACCATCGTAACAGTTTCAGATTACGTATAAGACCTTAACAACCGCTGTGTTTATAGTTATATAGGTAATATTTAGAATTGATCACATTCACTTTTGAGCGGTTAGAATATATTTATGGGAACTTTGTTTTAATAGAATGTTTTGTACTCTTCGGAAGGAAGAAACCACAGTTCAAACCCACACAAAACAACGAGAAAGATTGTTGCTTTGTATATTTTAATTTTGTAGATTCCAGATGTAAGTAATAACAAGCGATTTTTAACATTAAAAAAGTACGACACTGTTTACGGATAAGTAATCCTGGATGTCGCTGTTTTAGTTAACATTGCAGACGTTAAAAGTAACGGGAGACTGTAATATGCTGTGATGAATCCCATTATGAAGAAAGTGACTGGGGATACTTTAACAAAAAGAAAAGTGAATCGCGTATTCTGGGAAGATTGTCTGCTGATTTTCAGTTTATAAGAACGCAATCTTGCACTGCAGACATTCTAAAGTTTTTACTGATACCCCCCCATCAGCTGCCTATAACACGCATCTAATGTCATGTGCGAATGAGTTGAATATTTTTCTGGCGAAGCAAATGGATCTTTTTTTGTGAGATAATAGTGATTTTGTTGAAGAAGGCCACTCGGTTACTGACGCGAGAGTAAGATCAGTTCATCAGGCAACCAGGCTGGATCAGGCAGACAGGAAATATTATATCTCAATTGCGTCATGTTTGTGTTTTATTGATACAATATTTTTAGTTTCCGTCTATACACAAACTTAAAATAATGTTGTTTAAAAATTATTTAAAATTATAACATTCTCAGTAGAAACTGCATCTTGTTACATTTTTTGTATCGATACAAAAAAATGTAACAAGATGCAGTGTCTACTGAGAATGTTATAATTTTAAATAACTTTTAAACAACATTATTTTAAGTTTGTGTATAGACGGAAAATAAAAATATTGTAGGAAATATTTAGTCAAGATAAGAGAGTCGCGAAATAATGAGAACATAAATTACACTTCTTTGGTATAATTTCTTCAAAATGATATTTCAAGACCTAGATGTAGATGGAAGGACAATATTAAAACGGGTCTTACGGAAATAGGGTTTCGAGGTGTGATTTGATTGAAGTAGCTGAGGTTGGGGCCCGATAGCCAGCTTCTTAGAATGTTAAAATCAGATGACAAAATAATCTCAAGTTCGTATTCGATATTTGATTTTGGGATAATTTGACAAAATCTCCGGTTTAGGCCAAAAGACTTACTAAAAATATTCTTCCTAATAATAACAACCGTTGGTTAAGATCACATGAAAACGTACCCATGAACACAAAAGACTTTCTTGTATAACTGGCCACTACATAAAATCTAGATGTATGTTTGGTGTTTTGCTTCATTTAAATAAACAACTATGTCAGATTTCGAAACAACGCCCCCTTCTTACGACACCTCAGAGTCCAGACACATTTTACTGAATTGTGCTCGTTACCTGTTGAATTAATTCGTTATTGCTCAGGTTTCTCTCTCACGAATAGATGTATTTAGCTAGTTTCGTCATCATGCCCCGAGCGTTAATATCATAGTACAAAAATATAATTCTGCAGGTGCTTTTCATAGAAATGTTCAGGCAGTACGTTGCAACTGTCGCAAGAGAGAGGGTTGGGGGGAGGAGATCGAGTGAAAAGAACTTTTCCTTTCACAGATTTTATTAAGCCTCTAGTCACTCTTCAAAATTCGCGAAAACTCCCCCCCCCCCTTTGTACAATTTCTCGGGATTTCTCGAGTCTCTCACTAACATACGGGCTACGTAGCAGTCCGCCTCGGCCCGTGAATTATTCCCACTAAAAAGCTGATGTCAGTGCCACGTTCAGAGCCCTATATATGCCACATGTAACTCTTTAAAGGGAAGTGGTAACTATGTGTACCACCACTTGGCATTCAGCAATCTGAAATTTGTCCACAGTGTATTGATGGTTTCGTGTATTTTGTCACTGTAAATATCGAACATTTCCTTAAACAAAGTTAACCTACAGATTTTTGTAATGATGAAGTGTTGTGTTTTCTTTGCGGTACGGACTGAATTCTTTAAATATTATTTAGATGAGATTCGTGCTTCAGGGGTTAAAGTAACGTGGTTAAAATAGTGTAGATCTCCGTATTTAGCGTTCCTAGAGTTGACTTAATTAAGGTGCAATACAAATGCCAATGGCATTTCTACAGACTCTGTTAAGAGCTGTTGTCATATTTTTATGTTCCATGTTCTAAAAAGAAGTCTATTTCATTCTTAGTCATTCTATAAGAAACTCTACGAAACTTTGTGTTCGTAAAAATAAGTATTTTACGTCTATGACTTACTGCAAGAAAATGTATTCATGTTCAAAATACTTTTAACACCACC